CAGTCTGTCTCAAGCCCTGGGGACAAGGTCAGCTCCTGGAGAGTAGGGACCCCTCCCACCCAGGAGTCCCTTCTGGGGGACACTGCCTGGGTTTTACCTGGAACTCCTGAGATGCATCAGGTGCAGGTTGTGTGTTCACTTGTGTCCTTCTGTGATCTCAGTCTGTGGGTGACACCATTCATGGCCAAGATTCACCCAGTGTGACCAGTGTGACCCCAGCCAAAGCCCAGGGGAATTGTTTCTTTTTCTTTTCTATTTTTTTTTTTTTAATTAAATTCATATGTTATTTCTTGTTTGTTAGCATTCACTCATTCATTCAACAGTTCTTCTTGGAGCTTTGAGCCTTAGGCCCTGTGGAGGTAGCAGTGAACAAAGCCAAGTTGGTCCCTGGGGGGAGACAGACAGTACACATGTTGGATAAAACAGCAAATGACTACCGGCAGGGATCACTTTAGCTGGGAGACAGGGTTAGCTCTCCCAGAAAGTGACATTTTTTTTTTTTTAAAGATGACCGGTAAGGGGATCTTAACCCTTGACTTGGTGTTGTCAGCACCACGCTCAGCCAGTGAGCGAACCAGCCATCCCTATATGGGATCCGAACCCGGGGCCTTGGTGTTATCAACACCACACTCTCCCGAGTGAGCCACGGGCCGGCCCCAGAAAGTGACATTTTGAGCTAAGATCTTGTTGACAAGCAGGAGTCAGCGATGCAAAGGAAGGGGGAAGGTGCAAAGACCCTGAGGTGGGAGCATGTCTGGTGTGTTAGAGCAATCAGGGAGGCCAGCATGGCTGGGGTGGAATGAGTGAGGGGAGAGAGAAGGGGATGAGGTGGGGAGAGGTGGGCCAGGGCCAGATCTGGCAGGCCCTGTAGACTGTGGCAGGACTTTGGACTTTATTTTTGGTGTGATAGGAGCTATTGGGGTGGGAAGGGAGGGATTGAGCAGAGGAGGGATGTGATCTCTACTATATGAAAATAGAATGGGGTGGGAGGGCAGGAGGGGAAGTGGAGGGACCCATGAGGAGCCATCTCAGCAGTCCAGGCAAGAGATGGCAGTGGCTCGTGTAAGACACATCAGAGACCTAGGGTGCTGCCTGGCGCATGGTGAGTGCTACACGATGGTCGTCACTGCTGTCATCGTTCAAAACTTTGGAACCTGGCACACCTGGTCTCAGCTGTGGCTTCAGCTCTTCATGACTAGGAGAATTGGAGCAAAGTGTTTAACTTTGCTTAGCCTTAGGGTTGTCATGTGTAAAGTGTGTAGGACAGCAGCAGCGTCATGGGACTGCCAAGAATGTTAAAACAGATGAGGTGTGGATGTAAGGTTTTGGGCACAGGGACTGGCTCATGGTTGGTTCAGTATTTTTGTTATAATTCCTCATCTGCAACAGGGGCTAGGCCTGGCAAGTGGCTGGTTTGGAGGGCAGGCAAGGGCCAAGTGGGAGTGGGGAGGGAAGGAGAGCCAAGGATGTCTCCTCTGTGTTTATTCACCAAGCAATGCTGAGGGTCTAGAACCAGATGCTAGGTTCTAGATTAGGTACCTGGAAGAGCCAGTAACACTAGTAAGTAGTAATGATAATGGTAATGATAGCCAGCACTTATCCACTATTTAACTGCATGTAGTAATTAAGGTAACACTAGCTGACATGATAGTGAAACCCTGAAACCTCAGAGGCTTGGCACAGTAGTTCATTTCTCATTCCTGAAAAGTCTCACTGGGTGTTTGGCAGGTGGTTTTCCATGTGGTGACTCAGGGACCCAGACCCCTTCCATCTTGTGGTTCTGGCATCCCCTAGGACCTTGGAGTTATTTCCGTCCAGCTGGTGGACAGAGAAGGAGAGAAACAATTCCTCATGGAAGGCTTTTATGAGCCAGGTCTGAAGTGGCACACGTTCTTTCTGCCTCAATTGTATTAGCCGGAACTTGATCATATGGCCATATTTAACTGCAAGGGAGTCTGGCTTTTAGCTGTATTCCTAAGAGGAATCAAATGATTTTTTGGTGAACACATAGCAGTTTCTGCCATACCATATCCAGGTATGCAGCTGAGCATGGAGCATTTTATTTAATTCTCATGATAGAAACAGGTACCATTTTTTTTTTTTGTCTTTTTCTGTGCCCTACCGATCACGCAACCCTTGGCTTGGTGTCGCCCGCACCGTGCTCAGCCAGTGAGCGCACCGGCCATCCCTATATAGGATCCGAACCCACGGCAGGAGCACCGCTGCGCTCCCAGCACTGCACTCACCTGAGTGTGCCACGGGGCCAGCCCAAAACAGGTACCATTATTATCTTACTTTATTGATGAGGAAACTGAGGCTCAGAGAGTTGAAGTCACTGGCACAGGGTCACACGCTGGTGAGGAGGCATAGTCAAGATTGGAATCCAGGCAGTCAGATACTGAAGCTATATCATCCAGATTCCTATGAGGAATTCAATCATTTTTTGGAGGATTGGATGGAAGCTGCAGATGTTGGAGCAGTGCACATCCACGCAGGGTTTAGATATGATTTATTGGGATCCACAGAACCCAGCAGGACTCTAG